GGGGGGGGGTCGAAATGCTGATTTGAATTAGAAGGACGAAAGAAAAAGGAGTTTTCCGGTGTAGGAAAAAAGGGAAAAAGGGAGGGTGGGGTGGGGTTGAAACAGATGCTTTTTATGCCTAAAGGAAGAAAAACAACGAATAGAAACAACAAAAACGATCATTAATTGTCTTATAGCAGGATTGTAAATCAGAGAAAGAGAACACCAGCACATATCCATACACCAGTGGTTACCAAGCTGTTTTCAAAAGTGTGCGGGATACCTGAGAGAATGCCGAGAAGGTACTGGAGAACTATCTATTTGTTCAATACAACAATTCACTGGTGTGGTCAACAATTTAAAAAAAAATGCCACACCAATACCGAGAAAGAGCGTGATACATTAGCCAGAAGTCATGAAGTCTGTAGAAGCACGTTGAGTGTGCACTGCACGGTTCAGTTAAACAAATAGATTTATTTGTAGCCTGAGCATGCGACTTTCTTAGTTACGACATAGATCTACCCTGTGAGTGCATTAAGAAACCTTATTCAGTTGCGAGCGCCGCAAAACACTTATCAAAACAAATAAACAAATACCAAAAGGAACCTTATTACTTATTGGGATGCCCCCACCGTATATCTTTTAAATCACGATTACCTTGCAGCGTTGCGATTTCATAGACCCGTGGTATATAATACCCAAGATTTCTAATCTGACGACGTAGTTCCGGTTCACTGTGGACCGCACCATTATTATTTTTGACTCTATTTGGCACTTGGCTATACTATAAGCGAGACTTGTATTTTGACCTGCTTATGCGCGCCCATGGCACGCCTCAGTGCAGTGACGTTTTTATAGAAAGCAAAGAGCGGCGTCCAAGTATGTGCCCGATCTAGAAGTTAAGACTATTATAATTCAAGTCGTGGAGGATTCCCACTTTCCTACTGCATTATGCGGTGACTTGCACTTGCATTTTTCGTTCCTAGCTACCCCCTAAAGTGATACTTCTTCGTACTGAAATAAAAGCCTTTGACTATAGCACCATTTAAGGTCATTGGCACAGTAATCGGAGCAACTGTGCTCGTCTGATTCATTTGGTCCTGTAATTTCTTGGTTGTCGCAACGGGCTACTGCGAATAGCTTTAGGTTTCAGTTTCAGTTTTGGGTAGCGGTATTTGTGGGTAAAACCCTTTGACAGTGGTGAACGCGTCGCGTTGAGGGTTTATGGAACAAAGTCCGAGTGTGTCGTTGAAAGGGCAGAAGCGGATTAACAGAAGTAATCCTAACACGTAAAGATATCGTTATCACACAAAATCTTGCTTTTTCTTTTAGGGCCTGAAAACTTGGAATTCTATGACGAGCAAATGCTGACAGCAGGAGCTATTGAGGAAAGAAAGATTGTTTTTATACAACACATTACGAACGCCTTTCTTTCTGCACGATGTTTAATGCATACTCCTTTGACATGCCCCCCCCCCCCCCCCCTTTAAAAAAAAAAGGAAAAAAAACCTTTTTTTACCCCATTTTGAAATTAAAAAATTCAGAAGTCGGGCTGGCCCGACCATGCCTTTGCGAAAAAAATCAAGGCCGGGGGGAAAAAACCCTGGGGGGACAAGTAAAACCTTTAAAAAAAAAGAGAAAAAAGACCTTTTTCTACCCCATTGTGAAGTTAAGATATTCAGAAGTCGGGCTGCTCTGACCATGCCTTTGCGAACTAACTCTAGCTCGGTGGAATAAATCCATGGGGTACAAGTAAAAAAAACTAACCCCCCCCCCCCCCCCCAAACCAAGCTTTCTGACATAAGTTAAAATCGTCTTTCCTACACAACGCCTCAGCGACTAAATATAATTATAGCCTAATACAGAATGGAAACCGTGCATGTGAGTACTGGGTCAAGTAAGTCCGAACGGAGGGGTAAAGTTGACTTTTATTCATCCCTGAACAAAAACAATTTTTGAGATGCTCGAAAACAAAAACAGTTTCTTTGCGCGGGAATCGAACGCACGTCTTTTGTCGGAGTTATCGCGAAGCACGTCGGCACAATAACGGTACTTTAGTGCAGAGGAAAAGCAAGACAAATTGATAGAAACAGTATACGGAAACAATAGAACATCACAGTAATCTCGGAAATGTGCACAAGGCCGTTGCATCATAAGCTAAGGCGGTGGCGACCTGATGTACAATATTGTTATAGAAATAATACTACGATTTCAAGGTTGTTTTCTCGTTCTCGTAATAATAGTCAAGGCAGCCTTCCTAGTTCCAAGACATGTAGACAAGGAGCTATACCCTTAAAATGTGTTTAAGTCTGTTAAACCTATACAATTTTAACCATTTCTCTCTCTCTCTCTCTCTCTCTCTCTCTCTCTCTCTCTCTCTCTCTCTCTCTCTCTCTTTCTCTCTCTCTCTCTATCTCTCTCTATCTCTCTCTCTCTATCTCTCTCTCTCTGTCCCTCTCCCTCTCTCTCTCTATCTCTCTCTATCTCTCTCTCTATCTCTATCTCTCTATCTCTCTATCTCTCTCTCTCTCTCTCTCTCTCTCTCTCTCTCTCTCTCTCTCTCTCTCTCTTCAGACTGGCTTGCCAGTAATTCCACGGTCCTCTGGTCTAGTTCTTGATTAGGAGCCCTTCTCCCCTCTACGACTGTTTATACATCCGTTGATTCTCATGAGTCCTTATCAGAAGAAAAAAAAAACTCGAAGCAATATTCATTATCAATTATCGTAGTGCTCTATAGAGTTTTCTTGGTCTTGTGGTTTATTCTGGCATTTTATTTTTCTTCTTCTCGGAAATTAATGGGACTCTGAATAGCTTTTGTAAAAACCCCAAACACTCCTATTGTACTTTGGGCGTGGTATTTGCAAGCCATGTTCTTCACTTCTGGTCCTTATCACATAAAAATTCTTTTCCTAAAAACAGATTGACCATTAGCAGGACTTCTCAACCACATGAAGGAAACAAAACTTGACATGTAACTGTGTTTTTCAAGAAAACAATTAGTTTAAATAACTGGATTTTGACCGACTTTTTCACGCATTTCCAGATCAGGTTCTTTGACGACTAGATCTTCAACAAAAATGTACTTGTTTAATTCAACTGACTGGGCGGTTGTCGGGTGCTATGGCGTGATTTATCTTTCTTATCTTTCCTCATTTTTGTGTTTGTTGCTCTCTTATAAACACCTCTACTCCTCGGCACTTGTTTGACCTAATTGCTCCAAGTACCGTAAAGTTCTCACAAAAACTAAATGGAACTTAACTGCAAAATTGGCACTCACTACCAAATGCGTGTAAATATAATTTGACATATCTTGAATTTGTCAAAGATTAACGCTAACCATCATTTCTCTTCCATCAAAACTTTTTAAAAATGTTCCGTCCCTGATCTCGCTGGGTAAAGGACCCGACATTACCCCCCCCCCCCCCTCCTTTCAAGGAAAAACCAAAAAGCATCAAGAAAGCGGAAACAAATTCTATCCTTTTTATTTTACTTTCACTCTTACGAATTATTGCATCATCGTCAATGGTACTTATCTATCTCGATATCTCAACGACCGTCTTTGCCGGTGTTATGATATGGCTTTTGCAATACCGATAAGAAAGAGCGTTTGTTTTTAGCCTAGGCGTACTAATAAATCCCCCCCCCCCTTCCCAAAAAAAAATGAAATGAAATTTTAAAAAAAAAACCATAACAAAATATTTTAAAAAATTAATAAATACATTAATTAATTAATTAATAATTATAATAATAAAAATAATTTTTAAAATAATGTAAAAAAAAACACAAAAACAACTAAGACGCGAGTCACTCCTCTATCTTTGCTGGTGTTGTGACACATAGCATGAGCAATCCTGCGTGATAAAAGAGCTTTTGTTTTCCCGAAAAATGTACACCGTGTCAAAGACGCGGGCGACTCCTCTATATTTTGAGATTTCATCCCGTTCCCCTATCCCCTACCCTCGGACCTCACACTCCACCCCCACCTCACAAAAAAAACCCAAAAAACATGCCCCCC